CACTGCCCATATAAAAAAACTAAAATTCGCCCTCCATTATTTTTTTTTTTTAATTTCCTTTGTAAGTTATTAAACTCATTAATTTCTTTAACAAACCATCTCAATTTTCTTTTTTTATTTTCTTTTTATTTTTTTTCCTCTGTAAACATTTTTCTTCTTCCTCCTCAACATCATATCTCATGCATACCCACAATACCCAAACTCACACCTAATCCCTTTCCCACATTTTTTATGGCACTTTCCACAATTGCCCTTATCCCTCAACACATTCTTGCAAACCCCGCCGCAACACCGCTCCCCGAGGCGGCACTTGTGGCCGCACCGCCCGCAATTGTTCCGGTCTCCGAGCACATTCCGGCAATGCTTCTTGCAACAATGGAGGAGGACCGATCCTCCATTCGCGTACACGCCGTTGCAAACGTAAGGGTTCGTTTTCGAGTCGCAATGTGTGCCCTTCTTGATTTTCTTCACGGCCGAGGCAAGAAAACGGCTCCTTCTCATCACGGTCGAGTTATTCGAGGATTCGGAGTCGAGCACGTATTCTTCAACTTCGTTTTCTTCGTCCTCGTCATCGAGGAATGATGACGTGGCGGCGTGGGATTGGAGGAGGACGAAGGCTAGGAGGAGGTTTAGGAGGAAGAAGAGCATTAGGGTTTTGGAAGCCATTTGTGTTTGTTTTGAGGAGGTTTGTGTGGGATGGTGTGGGATTTAAATAGGTGTTTGGGATTTGGGATTGTGTGTTTGAATTGATTAAGGAAAATTATTATTATTATTATTATTATTATTTAAGGGGGGAAAATTGAATTTAAGCCATGTTAGGCTAAGTTCATGGCTCATGTGGAGTTCAATTTTGTCGGCAAATTTTGTGTTTTTATTGTAGTTTGTGATAAATTGGTCATCTCTCTCTTGTACAATTGGATTCATTTATTTAAATTAAATTAGAATTTTTATATTGTCATCAGGTGATTAATATATATGAGGGGAGATGATTATATAATTGGTACGCGGGTTCAGGACGTGAGCAGGTGGAAGAAGATCTAACTTTTTGTGATAAACTGACAATTGACTTTATTTAATAGTGGTATATTTATATGTAACAAATTTTATATACGGATTGTTAAGTGAGGTAGTCTAACTGTTAGGCGGGATGACATGTTATACTATATGAATAAATATATATTTATATTGTCAAATATCAAATTTTTGTTTTTATTAATTATGAAAATACAAGTTCTTCTAATGAAATTATACATATTTATAAAGTGTGCTAGCTAGTATAATCGTTAGACGGGCCTAACACAAATGAAGAGGCGCCTCTTCATTTGTGGATTTAAATCATTTTGTATTTTTTCCTTGTATTGTTGATGTGGAACAAAAGATGTCTTATTATGAAAGTTAATATTTAGCACTCAAGTAGTGAGTATCATTAATCAATAAGAAATAATATATAATAATTTCGGTAAATGTAAAATCTAAGTAAAATCAGAGAGAATGAAGTGAAATATCAACTTTCTGTAGTATTATCGCCTTATTAAAAACTGATATGCACGTTAACAGCTTGAGCTTTAATTTGTTATAACGAGGATGACAGATAAAATAAGCACTTTTGCATAAATATTGAGTTGACTTTGGAAGAGTTTGAACACAAATCATCTCGTGAAAGAATATTTTTTTTATTAAATAATAATAGTGAAACACTTTCAAATAAAAATTTCAAATCTCTAAGAAAGTAAAGTAAGGTACTTCAACCTTAATTAATCCTCAGTTCATCGCTCGAACACTAGGGAAACAAAATACAATCGGGTTTATTTTCTTGTTTTGTAAATTTAATTACTTGCTTCACAAGTATTTGGAAGTATATTATTTCATATATCAATCAATCATTTAATAAGTCGTTAAAATCGCATTAAATGAGGTCGGCTATATGGATCACATAAGTATATTATTTCATATAAACCGTAAAAATGGTACACGTAACAGTTTATGTTAAGGGCAGAAAAAAACATATTTAATTTAATACATACAAAGATAGAAAATTGCATTATAAAATGGATAAAATTAATTATTAATGTTACATCGCAAAACACATGACTTGCGAATTTTAGTTGTATCAAAATTGTGCTTGATGTTCTTTCAATTGACAAAATGTAGCAACAATTGATCATTCAGTACTAATAATTCTTGAATTATATTTTTACATTTGTTTCAACCATTCATATTCCTCATGCTCTCCTTCAAAATTACATATTTAACTTACAATTAGTTTCATACGCCATACATTCAATTTAATTAAACCTAAGTAATAAATAAATAAAGGAGTGTGAAAAAAGTACATACAAAAAATATAACTATAGATAAACTTATCAATGGAGACAAATACATTAAACAATAACAATTGTGGATTCACGAATAATAAATTAAATATATATAAGGAGCAATTGAGTATATCTAGTTTATTTGTTGATAATTCAAGGTTATACTTTATAGAAATCATGTACTAAGGAGCAAATTATCAATCTCTTAATTATGAGAGGTTCAATTTCACATACAATATCTATTGATTACACAATACTACTAAAATTAGTACAGTACCCGTGCGATGCATGGGACTTTATTATTTCCGTCCTTTTTAAAAGGTAATTTTGTATTTAAATTTAAATCATATAATAAAGCACCGATCATTGATTATAATTAAACCTAACAAATACTTATTATAAGATACGTGTAATTATTTATATTAATTATGTTGGGCTTGTACAATAGGAATGTTTTTGAAAAATGTGAGTTTCAAAAAGTTCATATCGGTCCAATTTACAATGTTGGCTTCGAAAGTTCATATTGGCCCAAAAAAAAAAAAAATAATCCAATGATCCAGATTAGTCAACGCAAATCGACGGTTTAGATTACACTGAACATAGTATAAATAGTGAAATTATCGGACCAAGGGCTTCATTTCTTCCTTCATTTTTCGCTGCTTCCAGTTTCTTTATTCGTCTTTTTTCATCGATCTTCTTCCAGCTTTCCGTTCTAACACTGAGGATCTTATAAATACATATTCTTTTTTAGTTTTCATTTAATCGATGCTTTAAATTAGTTTTAGGTGTTTTGCACGAAACAAAATATGGATTGTTCAATTTGAGGGTTTTCATTTTCAATTTTTGTAGTTTTATGTTTGAATTTTTTGGTTTTTACAATTAATCAAAAGAATCCTTCGAATCTGAGTGTGCGCCGGTAGATTTTGTTAATTTTAGTTGTTTTGCCCGAAAAAGAAATGTGGAGTTTTTAATTTTAAGGTTTTTATGTTCGATT